AAGATTAATTGAGCATTGTTCTGTTGTGGGTAGATCATCTCCACAAAGCAGCAAATCATCCACATATTAAAGCAGGACGACCTCAGGATGGTCAGATTGCCATGGATCAAGGATAGAGCACATGGCCTTCGCAAATTGACTTGGTGAATTTTGTGCCCCTTGGGGCATGACAGTCCATGTGTACTGTTGTTTTTCATGTGTGAAAGCAAACAGATATTGGCAAGTTAGATCCAGGGGAACACTGAAGAAGGCATTGGCCAGGTCAATGACTGTGAAGTACTTGGCAGAGGGTGGAACGCTGGAAAGGAGAGTGTGTGGGTTGGGCACTATTGGAGTGTCCAAAACTGTGGCTTCATTTACCGCTCTGAGGTCTTGGACCAATCTGTACTTTTCTGGTTCGCCTTTTGGAGTCATTTTCTTTACAGGAAATAATGGAGTATTGCATGGTGATTCACATTTGACAAGAGCACCCTTCTCCAGGAGTGCTTGAATCTGAATTGTAATGGCTGCAGCTTGAGCTGGTTTCAAAGGATACCGTGATTTTCGTGGCAATTTCGCTCCTGGGATGAGCTTTACCACCACAGGTGGGACCTTTAGATGGCCCATGTCCTCTGGGCCTGTGGACCACAGTTTCTTGGGAACATCAGTCTTGTGAATCAGGGAAATTAGTCCTTAGGTCTTTAGCATCCCCATGAGGCTCTTCTAGATGTAGCATCAGGGGTAAGGAGCACAAAGCTGAGGTGTCTGAGACAGAGGGGTGGATAGTTCCACTTGTCCATCTGGAGTAAAGGTGATAGATGCCTGCAGGCGTGAAAGAACATCAGCTCCTAACAGGTTAATGGGGCATGTGGAAGATACCACAAAGCGAGCAAGCAAGTTGTGGCAGTTACCAACCCGCAGTGGGGTGGACAGGGGACTTTGCCTTGGAAGGCCGTCCACCCCAACACAGGAGACATCAATATTGGAAAGAAATGAGGTATCGGGCAGGTCTTGTTCTCTCAGAACACTTCGGGCTGCACCTGTGTCAACTAGGAAAGTGGTGGGCTGGCCCTCAATGGGTAAAATTACAGTAGCTAGAGGCCCCCCTTGTTCCCCTGAAGACACTGCCATAACAGGGGCATTAAGCATCAGTAGGTTCTATCATTATAAATAATGGTTAATAGGAAGTGAAGTAAAGTTCCTATATGTCTTTGGATAAAACATTAACTATTGCGGTACTATCATTTATATTAATTAGACTATAACAATTATACCACCCTGTAACTAAAATTAATAACCAGAAGTGGCTGGGTTAATAAAACATGTCACTAATCCTTCTAATGCTAGACCATCATTTAAGGTAAAGGATGTTACTGTAAACATACGATCTGTAACTAGCAAGATTCGATTAAGCAAAGATACAATGTTTAAAATAACTTGCATTATTTGGCTATTTCCCTTGTTGCAAGATTAATCTGGATAATCAGCTGTTATGCTCTTATATTCGTGTCCAACAGATATCAGTTGTAGGTCACACCACAGTTGCAAATGACATTTTAGCAACCTTCTTTTTTTCTTTTTTTTTTTTTTATATCACAGACACATTTCTGATACAGGGAAACAAATGGCATGATTGTTTTAGTAATTATAATGTTTCTGTTCATAATATGTAGAGTGTAAGGAAAACAACATGTCTCTAAATAGGACGAGCATAATAGGGGTAGGCCTCATGATGGAGGCAGCCATGACAGGGGCGGGGAAGGAAATGACAGCAAGGGAGGAAGTGAGAGGGGTGACGTCCATGATATGTGTGGGAAGGGAAGACAGGAGGTGTGGGCATGGTAAGGGCGGAAGTGACGTCACTTTGGAAGCAACCGTGACTGTAGATAGGTCACGGGACTGGCAGGGTCAACCTCCTTCTGTACTAGGCGCCATCTTTAGGGTGGTGGCTGATGCACTTTCAATAATACACTATATTATAACTATTAAAATAAGTCAGAGAAGCAACATTCCGTTCTGCAAAATGAAATACTAAACTACGAACAGACCTTAAATAAGGTTAAATAAGACAGTTGAAAACATTATGCATTTAACAGCCCATACAGCTGTCTCTAGAAACATGTTCTTTAAAATGATGCAAGATAAACTCACGGAATTCAACCAATTTCCCTTATCATCCTTCACATACTAGCTTAACAACTTCGCATATTCCCTCTATCCACATTGCATAGTTTTGCAACAAATCACGCTTGCCTTTACACTTAAGACGTCCAAATATTCCTCTATTCTTGTATCAGATTCACTTACTTAACCTCCGTAAATCAACACTGAGCTACATCCCTGACTCCCTGTCTTATACACCAGTCTTGGAGAGAATACTCAGAAAGGTGGAATGCATTCTTGTGAGCGAGCCCCCCCACAATCTTCACTGCCTCATCACAAAACACAATTTATATATATATATAAACGGCAAACGGCAACAATAATAATATTATTACACAATTATAACACTAATATTGAATTAGAATATTTTCCAGCAAAAATCCCGTCTCTAACTCTTATCAGCAGCTCTGAAATGCAGAAAGCATGTCACTCCTCCATTCGGAGGCAAGCGGGGAGGAAAGGGGGGGGATGTGAGACAGTGCAAAAAGAGGAGAGAGAGAGAGACTGCGGGCATAAAGGTTAACTATGTGAGTGCTGGAAAGTAACAAGACAGAAGGACAGAGACTTATACGTTTGGAGACCAGAAATCTTTGACAGGAGAAACGGACTGGAGGTGCAGGGAGCTGCAGAGAGAGGATGAGGGTGACGAGATCTGTAGGACTGATGGGGGGGGGGGAGAATAGGGATCCATCAGCATTCAGGACTGGGCAAACAGGGGCAGTGGTAGGGTGGGGACCAGGGGTGGGGACCATGGTCAGCTACATTTCGGTCATTGCTGACGCGATGTTGGGAGTGGTCACCTCCTGGGCGCCATCATAGGGCGCTGGCTGGGAGGACTTCCCAGTAACACAATTATTATAATACACAAACAATCTTAAACCTTTGTGATCAATATCTTCCTCAACCTATCCCTTTTGCTGAATAGCTCTTGCTACTCGGTACCAGGCTTCTGCTGTACAAACCAAATCTTGGTCCGACAGCTTCCCTTTCTTCTCTGTCAGTAACTTACGCCAGCTCTCTGGCTACAATCTGCCGCACGGAGGTACGGTAATTCCACATACTTTAGCAATCTTCCTCACTTTCTTAACCATCTCTTCTCCTTCTCTGTCTTCCACTAGATCACATGCTAACCAACCCTTACTGGGTTTATCTAACTTCTGTCCCATCCTCCCTATACAAGGCGTCCCAGATATAGAGAGAGAAAGGAACAGAACGTCTACCGTGCTCGACTGCTACTTTAAGAGCAAGCTCTTTAAGTACGTCTTCCCAAAACGTAGACTAGTCACTGATTCCGCCTACCCGTGGTAGCCGCGGATTGGAGCGTGGCGAGAAGTGTGTGACCAATCACTTATCTCAACAGAGAAAGAGAAATAGGAGGGGAAAGTGTAAATAGTACAGTGAGTAAGATAGAAGTAAACAGGAATCTGTGTGACAGACAATTAAGACAACATTTCAAATAAAATACAGTGCATGCATCACAGTTCAAATAAGTTCAACAGTTTTATCCCTTGCCTTTACTCGTGTGGCCAAAAGCCACCTGCCTCAACCTCGTAGTGTCCCTCTTGCGGACCCACCCGCAAGTCTCACTACCAGCAGCCACAGGAAACAGCAACAGCTTCCAACCCGAATCCTGTATAGCCTAAAGAATTGGAATCTTACCTGCCTCAGCACTCGAGGCTGGAATTTTACCAAGAAGAAGTGTCCGATGAGGCTAGCTAAGCAGTCAATGCGACACTATGGGGAACCCCCAGGAAGCAGTGAGTCTACATCATCCTCCACAGATTCCCCCTACTCTTTTTCCTTACAGCCACAGCTACGTGGCTCCTAAAAGAGTTAAACAGGCAATAGAGGACCCCCAGGAAAACTTCCACAGGTCCACCCCCCTTTTTCCTTACTACCACAGCCACGTGGTACCTAAAAGGAGTTAAACAGGCACTTACACTCCCCGGGTACTAAGTTAAACACAAACCAATACAAACACACCCAGGCAACAGATAGTCAACATGCAGGTAAACTAGGTATCATTAACAATACAAAGACTCTGGGCAAGTTATTACCTGACTTTGATGTCCTCTCGGCAGCAGTCACAGACACTGGGATAGGTCAATCACAGGGGCAGGAACATACCGGCTAGGTGCTGCAGCAATCTCTACCGTGTACTCAGAGGTGATCAGGCTCTTTTCCTTCCCCCAGGATTCATCCCCCCCAGCATCTTCTTGGACAGCTGCCCAGGCAGGACATAGCCCAGAGCCCCACGTTATGGCGCCAGCTGTTGTAGTTGATTTACTGCAAACCAATTAGTTTGAATGACTATCTGTTCCTGTCCAAATTGAAGATAATAAAGTTGCGTGCACGCAGAAGTAAATTCACACTGAGACACAGAGTTCAGGTTAATGAAAGAAATTCTGAGAAGTTTAATGGCTTCTGAATAAAAAGCAGGCTCGCAGGCCCTTTTAAAGGCATTATTACATCATTGAAGAAAATCAAGATATAGACAAATAGACATTGTTAATTGGCTTAGGTGCTAAGATGTTAGTAAAATGCCCTCCCTATGGGGTGTACCATCTTAAGTCACTATCCTCGTCATGATCATCTCCTCCAGGTTTTAGCGCCATTTTGCTAACATGAGGAGCTCACTCGACGGGAGGGGCCTTTTGGCAACTATCCATTTAGAGTGTAGCTGGCACTGTTAGTTTCTCAAGGTTAGGTTTCAAGGCTTTTAGTAAATACACATTTTATCAAAGCTATTTCTTGCTGACATGCAAATTCAAAGCTGTCTTGTAAAACTATGGGGGCCTCTTAGAGGTATAGCAAGAGGATAAAAAGGGGCCTTACAGATTTATAGAGGCCTAATAATTCTACAACAACACCACTCCAGAAAAACAGTATTTTCTGAAAACGCTGGTTGGAGTTACCTTTTAGAGCAACTCTGTTCAATGTTTATTTTGCAGTATTTTATTAAAATCTTTAAAAAGTCAATAAAATATTTAGAAACTTACTCTTATTTACTACGTTAGAAGTTCCAATGCAGTCAAAAGATGTGATTAAAGGCTTCTGATGGATTAGGCACCAGGAGTTTAAGAATGGATATATACCCGCTCTGCCGGTGACCTTCTCCTGTCTGCTGCTCCACCCTTACTGCTAACTCGCGCTTGCAGGACTTCTTGTTGGCCGCTCCCTCCCTTTGGAACAGCCTGCCTACCCCCATCCCTTAGTCCTCAATTGTTTAAGAAGTCCCTCAAAACACACCTGTACAGAAATGCTTATGGACTCCCAGAGTAACTTCTCTATACTTATCCAAATTTGTCTCTTGCTCTCCTAAAGAGCCACACTCAGCCACCAAACAAGCTGGAAAAGTAGCAGAGCTGGAGGTGTCACCATTGCTCCCCTGTTATGTATTTGTACCCCACCTCTTCTAGACTGTGAGTCCGTTTGAGCAGGGCCCTCATCTACCTATTGTTCCTGTGTCACTGTGTAATTGTCTCATTTATTGTAAATTTCACCCTTTCATAATATTGTAAATTGCTGTAGAATTAGTTGGCGCTATATAAATAATAGTATATAGATATGTGCATTGTATTAAATAAAATAAGTGTGTGTATGTGTGTGTTTGTATACATAAATTATTGAATACAATGCACCAATGTAAAGAGCTTTTTAAAGGTCTGTTTAATACAAAGGACACAAAATCATCCGCTGAGATCCCTGCTGGGAAGATATCAATTGCTGCAGTACGTGTGTTTCAGTATAAAAAGAGCCATAAAAAAAGTCTTCTGCCTAGGAAGATTGTTCTATCAAATTCAGTACTTTGTTTGTTCTTTAGCAAAGTGTGATGTTCTATTAAAATGCTGAGAAAGTTAATATAAATGTAGTCCTTGTGCACCCAGGCATTACTCCAGATACATGTGACATAGTTCTTACTCAGCTCTGGTGAAATCTGCCAGAACAGGTGCAGGTTGCCTTTTGGCCAAAGCATTTGGCACATTTTCTTCTGTCAATCTGGCTAAAGAGTAGGTTGACCCATTGCTTCGCTTCCTTCCTGACCGCATTTCTCGGATGGCCTCTGGGGTCCTAACAGCTGTGATATTTTTCTGTGTTTCAATGTTTTGAATGTCCTGTGTCAGGTATGACCTAAAGTTACAGAATCGCAGAATATTTCATTGATGAAATTTCTTAACGCTTTATAAATATGTTTATCTATTTCTTCATATTCCAAGCAATTGATTACATAAATCTTAAACGATAAAATAGGAAAGTAGGCATGTACAGAAATTTATTTCCAATACTTAAATGGGCGTAAAGCATGTAAACACGTAAAGCACTTCAACTTTAAGGGTGAATAGGGTTTTCTTGTTTTTTTTTTTTTCATTTTACAAGAAGTGCAGATTTAACAAAGGAAAATAAATAAATGGCACTTTTCTAAATAGAAATTGTTACACCCACCTTCCCCCCACCCCTTCACCCCCCGGCTGTCAATCAGTCTTCCTGGTTGTTTAGCTCAGTGGAGCTAAGCTCAAGAGGCAGCAATTGTCCTTGATGCCTTGCAAATACTTCTCATCGAGCTGCATTGGGAAGTCCGTGATTGGACAGTCACAGAAAGTCTGGGCGGTCTTAAAAGAGGAGGATTTGCTAAGGCCGCAGATGAGATTTTCAGGCTTAAAGCTGTGTTTAGATATACTGAAAAATGGAAAAATATGCATAATGTGGGGTTGCCAAATGAGAGTAAAAATAAAAATCCTTTTTATCCAAGTGTTTTTGTTATATTTGTTTTCAATCTAATCCATTTGGTATAAATATGAGCTTTTTGTGTGGAACCGTGACAAATGGGAGGGAACGATTCAGTGGTGTAGAATACATTTACTTGCTGCAGCCAGGATTATATAAGCCAGTTTAGGAAATTATCCCGAACTCTCTGCCGGGACCCGCCAGTAGTGGGGAAATACTAAATGGCTTACCCAATAGTTGAGTTATATCATTTCTAACTTGCCCCCAGAATGCCCCAACCCCCACACACCCAGGGGCAGTCTGCCCCATTGATTATTTGATTTATCATCATACATGGACGTGGCTGCTATCACTGTCCTGATTTGATGCACTGACAGTCTACTTCTTGTGAATTACACTTTTTGTGGATGCAAAATGGAGAGGAGGAACTGTCTGAGTCTATTGACCAGTATTTTAGTGAGGAGTTAGTGTACCTGGTCTGTAAGAGGTTGGGAGAGCTAAGTCTTTGTCTGGTATTAAGATTAGAATAGTTTTGGATTGTGTGAAGGGTGTTACCGTGTCTCTGTCTAGGTAAACTGAGTTAAAAAGGAATGTTGGGGTGCTAATTATTTGGCATTCCAGCATTATAGTAATCTTTAGTGAACCCATCAGGTCCTGCAACTTTGTCTGCTTACCCATTTTTACTGCCCAACTTACCTCCTGTCCCCTCCATTTTCATTACCCCTTATCTCCTGTAAAGGTTGTTCCTCTTTTAAAGGGAACTTAAAATTCAATGTAGACATTTACACCTCTGTACCCTGGAACTGGGTGCCTCCATATTGGTCTTTGTCAGATTTTATAAGCTATACTTGCAGCTTTTGGTCAGTAGCATCCAGAAAAGAGACCATATTTCTATTTCTCCTCATTTACAATGCGTGCCTTGTCTGTGCTTGAACTGAACAGGAATGTTTTTTCTAAATGGTTAAACTGTAGGCACTGTAACTGTTTCATCTCACAGAAGTGGTTATATTGTATTTAGTCCCTTGGCACCATACTAATGTTCATATATGGACCATTGTTTATGCTAGAACAAGCATTCCAAGCCCCTCTGTACTACTCAGACTATTGTTGAAGCATTAGCCAGAGCAACAATGGGCAGTGGTGTTTGACATAGTAACTTTTCAGCCCATAACAATTACCCTTTAAAATCTACAATGAATGCTACTAACTGGTTTATCTTACTGACGAACCCCGTCTCACACTTCTTTCAGTCTGTACATCGGTTTCCTACAGTCTTTAGGTATAATTTCACTATAAAGTCCCAATACTTACCTGTAATGCTCTTCATAATGTTCACAATGGTGCCCAAGTCTTCATATCCTCATTAATAAATGTCTCACCCGACCCCTCTGCACAGACTTTTGCCGTTTGAATATGTATCAAAATTGGCTGTATACATGACCATGAGTCAGATATGTGTAGTTGAGGACATTGGTATCTGATGTTTTTCAGAACAGCCCTGCATCTGGCCACATCCTGCTCACACCCCTAAAATTTGACATATTGAGCGGTATGGTGTAGCTGGTCATATTAAAGGAAATATCTAGATTAAAAAGGGCATATTTGAAGAGTGCAAAAAATAAATAAAAAAAATGCATTATCATGTTCAAATTCTGTTCCGGACTGCCTTTTCTTACTTTCAGAAGTCATGTCAGTGGTTATGCCGATCCACTTCCTCTACGTCCAGCACAGGGTAGCATTGTGGACAAAGCACTAACATATTATAAACACTCAAACTACAGTTTGGTGAATATACCCCGAACACAATCTATCACTGGAAAATGTGCAAATGTTAACAAAGTAATAAAATACAGTACCATTGCAGTGTTCTCAGATTCTGTTCAGGCAATGTCTGACTTCAAAGAATGTTTCTTATCTCACATAGATGGCTAGCAGCGGGCAATGCTTTATGCCAGCATTAGCTGCTAATTCATTGAGCTGTGTATGGCTAGAGACTGCAGGAGCATGATCTATGTACCAAAACATTTTATTAACCTTAACTGACACTTTATAGTAGGCCAGGTAAACATCACCTGGCCTTACCTAAGCATCCTGTAATTCACTCCAGCCACAGCATCTAGAACAGGCATAGGCAACCTTTGGCACCCCAGATGTTTTGGACTACAGCTCCAATGATGCTTTGCCAGCATTATGTGTGTAAGAGCATTATGGGGAATGTAGTCCACATCATCTGGAGTGACAAAGGTTGTCTATCCCTGAGCTAGAACCTTGAAAGATAATGTCAGAATGATGAAGCCCAATAATACAATTAATTAATACAATTAATTTAAAGAACCGATGGTTGGGAGTTATTCCTTAAGGCACTGTGTTCTCTTCTTCCAGTCTCCCTTTATCCTGCTCTGTAAACTTGTTTAATAAACAGATCAAGATCGCTGAATCAGAGACTTTGGTGCCCATATAACCTCATTCGAGCCTGTCATGACATGACATGACTATAAAATGTACAGCAGTTCAGCAAGCTTTCCTGCATTCCCGGATCTGGTGGGATAGTTTCTGTTTCTTTTTTTTATTCTCACAGGATAGTCCCCTTGTCCTGTATCTGTGCCAGGGCCTGGTGTGCAGGTATGCGTGTTTCATGTATAAGATCTGGACCTTATGTAGGTTTTATTATATTTATCATATCATTCAATGTTTGTACACATTTCAAGATTTTCCAGCGACCTGATGTGATCACTGGCTTTTACGTCTGATTCTTCACCCTTACCAGACTCTGTGCAACCAATGTATATTCAGCAGGTAGAAGGACAGTGTATATGTTCTTATGGCAGATACTCAAAATACAAAACTCACCCACTGGTACTGTATTAGTAGGGTGTATGAAGAAATATCAGATTAGTTGGGAAATGTGAAGGTTACTATGTACACTGTGTATATTGATAAAACATCGCTGCATTTATATCTGAGGTTCTGACACATCTAATGAGTATGTAATTAACTAGTTCCAAGACACACATACAAGGGAATCTTGTAGAGGCACCTTCTGGAGGATCCACAGTTTAATTAATACAAAATGGGGTTCCATTACCCAGCGTGATTTGTAATACCAGTCACAAGGGTTAAAAAAGGTCTATTATTTGGGGTAAAAGAGCTAGAATCTCCATCTCATGTCTGTCTCACAGGTAAGGGAGACCATACCCTCCTACTTGCAGGAGATTCCCATAAGATATTCTCATCTGAAGACCAATGGTCCTCTAGGCTCCATGAGCACATACATGGCATTTGTGGGTACCACCTGGTGGGGAAGCATAGGTTTTACTGAATGGGGACCAGATAATTTTTCATGCTCTGTCTGTGGCATACACTGCTCCATATATGTTGGCTACAGGAGACTGGAGGGACCTATT